GAAGGAGATAAGGAGGAATGAAGAGCACAGCATGGATTGTGGGAGGAGTGGAACAAGAAGTTCAATGTCACTGTAGTTCACCTTCATGTCAGAGCTATAATTCTCGATTTGCCTCCAACCCAAAAGACCCATTTTGAGGTGGGAGCATTGTCTAGTAGCTAGAGAAGAGGACTGGGAATCAAGACTGCTGGGTTCAATTCCTAGTTCTGTAAGAGACTCTCTTTGTGACCTCACACAACTCCCTCTGCTTCCTATGCAACTAACACGTGCAAAAGAGCATTAAGAGCCTTGATTGAAAGGTGCTATACGAGCTGGGCCTCTCTGTACTCTATGGCAATCTTTTAGCAGTCTGGGGATGCTGTGACAGAGAGGTTCAGTGAATGATGCAATCCGTACATCAGCCCCTACGTTAGTGATGTTGAGATTAAATTCAATGCATTTTACAGCATTCCCATATTTTCAACAGGACTCTCTCTCTAGCATTTGCACTAACAATACATAACTGTAGCAGATGTTTTGGGATGAACACTCAAGGTTTTTGGCATTTAGTTAAGAGACAGCTGGAGCTTTTCGAACCTGGGGAGGTGTGGGAGGAATAGTGGGATCAGCACATTAAGCTGGGAATGTCTATTAAACACTAAACACTCACTGAAACGGTCATCTTTAGCATTCAGTGTTAACAGCTCTTTGAGAGGCAGGGGGCAGTTTTCTTAGAGCTGCTGTTCTAGGCTTTATGTCAACCCAGGGGAGACAAGACTGCATCGGCAGTCTCTGTTCATGTTTTCACGGTTTTCTTCTGTCACAGAGCCAGATAGGCTCCCACCAGACTGCTCTGAAACCCTCGCAGCAGGATGCAAGGCTATTTTCTCCCCTGGTCTCTCTGGCACATTTCCTGGGCACAGACTCCCAGCTTGTTACCACTTAATGGAAATGAGGCCCTGCAGCCCACCTACCCTGGGCCCCTGGGACCAGTGCTGATCTCCAAGATACCCCAGTAGCTTCACCACCACCTATTCCTGGAACTCCACCAAAGGTGTGAGCCTTCTGGGTTGCTGTCTAACTCTCTGAGGGAGTATGCGCTAAGTGTAGCATCTCTCTCACACACACATTTTGCACAGGAATCTACAGCACTGTTGCTCTTTACTTAATCCCTTGAGAAATACACAGATCTATACAAAAATAAGAAACTCTACAATTATTTCCCCTCGCTCTAGCTTACCCTTCCAGGGGAAGTTCTTGAAGAACCATCTGAGCTTGCGCAGGCGGGATTCCCTCACATCATCTGGCTCCTGCAGCAGCTTTCCTCCTCTTAAGCCAGTGAAACTGGCCAAAGACACACACACCCGCCCAAGCAAAGCAACTACTGTCCTTTCTATAACCTTGCAGTCTCCTCTGTGAGGTAACTCCCTGGTCAGGTTCAACAGGTGACTTCATTGTCAGGTAACTCTCCCCTGACAAACCAGTTATCCAAGTAGAAGCCAGTCTATTGTCTAGAATGTTTCTAGTTCAGTGGCAGAGCATACAGATTTAATGGGCCTCTATGGTCAGCCCTGTACCACGAACTCATTGGAATTTCAGTCCAACGTGGAGGTAAAGAGGCAATAGAAAAGGTAAAGAACCCCACATCCAAAATGGAGTCTGCAGTCTGACACAGATATACATAAACAGCCTCCAATATCACAGAATTCATCAATTGTACAGACAGATTCCCCAAATCATCACAGCCATAAGGATTGTAAAAACTAATAAAATGAAATTTTAGATTCAGGAGCACAATTCTGGACGAATTGGTAGGTACCAAAGTTATAGAATACACAGGGTTCTATGCAAGTATTATTTATATAGCAAGTCAACAATTTTCTGTAGAAATACGTTTGGTGGAAAAAAGGTTTTTTGAAGCAACTGAAATTTTCACAGAAAAATTTCTAGGCTTGTCAAAAATTTCCAGGTTTTTGTCAAAAAAAAAAAAAACCAAAAATTCTAAGCAGGGCGATTTTTTTGAACTTGAAAACATCAAAAATAAATGTATAGCTGAAAAATGTTTTGATTTCAAAACAAAATAAAAAGCGGTTTTCAGTTGCTGGGGAAAAACACTTTAAAAAAAAAACTGAAAATCTAAAAATTTTAAAAGAGAAATTGTGACCCCCAAAAAAGTTTCTACTGAAGAATTGTGCATGCATTTCCCCCCTCCAAACAGCTGTAGCTATTATTGTCTGTCACAGTGCTGTGTATATATTAAAGTTCCATCAGCATAGGTAGCAATTGGGCATTGGCTCCAATAGGGCAGGTAGATTACAGTTGATCGTATGACCATGTTCTGATGTCAACAGAATCTTGATTCCCGTCTGAAAGTTTTCCCTATTTCCATTTAGCATGAATATTCATGGAATAACTGATTTTGGCTGGCGGAAAACCTCAGCACTTATAATTATTCCAGAAATGTTGTATATGATGAAAAATTAATTAAATTTGCTACAAGTTTGTTTATTTGATGTTTTCACATTTTAAAAAATGCTTTGATAAGAAAAATATCCTTTAAACTCATGTCGTGTGGGGAAATGTCATAATTATTCACAGCTACCGTGCATTGTTCAATCTGTCCTCACAACTAAACTGCATTTTGAGTTTGCTGTGAATGAATGAAGTAAATCACAGCTCTGTGAGCTGCTTGATAGCACACGCATATTGCTGGCTCAAATCCTCCACTTCACAATGGTCCTGAGGATGCCAGCAAGGAGGAACTTTGCATCATTTTCTCTCATTCTGAAACTCCGTGGTTTTAGAGTTTAATTTTACCATGTTGCAAAAAGTGCTTAGAAATGGTGACAGCCCAGTGGGGCCTTATGGGATACCCGCAGGGATTTATGGAATTTTCCCACTGGATGATGGGAGTTTGACCATTCCTTCCACATCTCCCCAGAGCACCTGCAAACTATCCCACTAAGCTTTTCAAAATCACCTAGAATGCATTGCTACTTGGACACTGGTACCCAAGATGCTCAACTGTGTGATCAGAGTTCTGATGTGGATGTGGGGCAGGACTTCATTATGCATAGCCAGTGCATATATGCACTGAATCAAGTGTGCGACAAAAGTCGCACCACATCTTATTTGACTAAAAGTAGGCAAATGCCTCACCTCCCTCCAACTGTTCTTCTCTCTGCCAGCCACATCACCTGCAATACTAAACACGGCTCTCCCCTCTTACTGCAGTGGTACCCCCACTGCCTTCGTGCAAGTGGCTCTTCACCTAGCAAATGGATTCTGATTCCAGAAAGGAGCTGGGATCACACACACACACACAGAGCATCTAAGATTACAGGCCAGACAAGCCTGCATCGTTACACATACAGAGAGCCCAGTTCTCCACCTATCAGCTCGCCTCTCCCCCTGAGCCACCTTGCCAAGGGGCAGACAGGGAAGGCACCTAAATCATGTAACGGTATGTTTACTCGCAGTACATTATTCAGCCACTAGATATCTCTGTGTATTGTACAGTATTCTAGGAATGTAGGTACTCTTGCAAACCAGGATGGCAAAGCTGGAAACTCAAGTTGTGTGGAAGCTTTGTTTGGGGCTATTGGTTTCAGATGTTTTCTTTAATAAATAACTCCTGTTTGAGACAGACTGTGATTCCACATATGAAGGCAAGCTGGGAGCCCCATAGGTATAACTCTGGAATTTGTCCCTCCTTCCCGCCTTTGGTCCATAATAGTTCGGATTTGTAAACGTTCATGCATTCTGTCAGCCCCTTCCCTTAACTCTGGTTCAGTGGACAGGGAGTGCGTAGCAGGTGGGGTAATATCTGATAGGCTGGATAGTGGAGAGGGAGTGTGTTGGGGAAATTAGTTTTTTGTTATATCTTTGCTATTAACAAGGTTCTGGGAACAACTGAAGGGTATCTGTTTAGTTGAGCGTATATTGTTTATTTCTAAAGAGCCTGTCAAGACTGCTCAGAGCCTAGTTTGTGTGCTCTTTTTTGAGCTGTAGTAGAAATTTAAATAAATAAAATAAATTCTCCTCCGGATGCCTTTAGTCCAGTGAAGTCCTCCTCATGTATATTCAGTAAAAGAGGAGATCAGTTCATATGCCAGCAGTGAGGGGCCAGAGAATACACTACTCCTGCTTTGGGCCTTTCTGCACCCTTCTTATCAGAGCATACTTTTAAAATGCATATTCAAATCACAAGGCAAGTGCTTCAAGGTGGCAGAGACGTGACTACATGGGAATCCAGGCAGGAACAATTGATCCTTCTGATATAATTCCTGCTTCTTTGACTCATGCACCTCTCTAGGGTGGGATGATGGGTTTACCATGTGCACACTCCTGACAGGGGTTAATGAGGAGAAAAAGAAAGCAATCTATTCATTCCTTTGGAGCGTTAGCTTCGTGTTTTTGCAAGTAAAGTCTGAGGAAGAGTTAGCATCACTATTTCATGAGGAAGAGCCCCAAGGTTTTAAATGTTGACAGTAGGAGTTTAGAAATAAAATTAAAAATTTATTTCTTGAAAGCCAGTACTGAGCAGGGAAACAAAGATAAACAGTTCAGAGCCCTTTCTGCTTGTGAATTCAGAAACAGAACCACTCACCTTTGATTAATAAAACTACAGAAGCTACTTCAACTTTCTCGCAGATTTTTGAGAGGGGTCAGGAAAAACCATTGTAGGAAGAAGCCGTTTAAAAAAAAAGTTTTATGCCAATTTGCAGTGTTGTTTTGAGTTTTACACAAGAGCCTCAGGGTGTCCAAGACCCAAATATCAATGATGTGATAGGACAGTGACAACCTTTGTTAAGCAAAGAAATTGCATGTGAGGACACTCCACCCACCCTGACTAAATACTGGCATGACCTTCTCAGGGCTAATGTTGGTGCTGGTACATGTTACTCTGTTGATTCATAGGGTTAAGGCCAGGAGAGATCATTACAATTATCCAGTTTTGCCTCCTGTATGACACAAGACAGAACTTTACCCAAGAATTCCCAGATCGTGCTCATTTACATTCCTACATAAATCAACATTACGTAGGTCAATAAATTGTGGTTGTACGATGGCATCTCTTTGAGACAGACACCGACTCTTGATGTTAAGACTCCATGTGACTGAGAACCTATCGCATTCCTTGGGAAGCTATTCCAATGGCTAATTTCCCTCATTCAGGGCTAGTTTAAGGCACAAGTACCATAAGCTTGTACCTACCATCCCAGCTCCTAAAGTCATGCCATTACATCTGTCATCTTCTAATTTTTTTCTTTATTTTAAGTAAAGGCTTGTCTACATGGGGACTCTCGGGAAAATTAATCCAAATTAACTAAGAGGTGTGAATTTAAAATGGATTAGTTAAACTGCATTAAATCCCTGGGTGGGCACGCTCATTCAGAATTAAAGTGGCCTTAATTAATTTAATTAAACTAAACCAAATTCAGGCCACTTTGATTCTGAATGAGAGTATCCATACAGGGGTTTAAAGAGGTTTAACTAACCCACTTTAAATTCACACCTTTATTTAATCTGAATTAATTTTCCTGAGAGTGTCGCCGTATAAACAAGCCAAAAGTTTTTAGCAGGAGTTTGGCAGGAAACAGTTTTCCCACTCCACCAGAATTTGAGAACTCTAAAACTTTTCCTGACCCAAGTCAGGATGCGGGTGGTCAGGGAGGAATGTGCCAACACCAGCACAACAGAGAACTGGGTATCTGGCAGGGAGGGAGGAGTGCATGAGGTTTGGTCCATTCACCCAAGCAGCTACACCCCAGGTGCTGAGGTAAATACAAGGGTGGGGGAGAACCACCACCATCCCTGACTTTTCTGAGCAAAAGGGAGTCTTTGATGCCACTTCCAGGGGAAGAAGCGGACCCCACTGTGATGCCACACTGCCTAGGGGATGGGACTGTAGTGCAGGGCTTGTGTCACAGAGTGCCCAGGGCCTCACCTTGCCTCAATCCAACTTTTCCCACACTTTGCATCCTCTTATTTTCCATTTGAATTCCCTCCCCCTCCCCCTTTTAAAAAGTATCCTTAGTATCCAGCCACTGGCTTTGCTCTGCTTCCTCGGCTAGGTTCCAAGTGCTCCTGGGCTCCCACCATCAGCTAGCCCAGCACGGGAGCACATCCTATCAGCATCACGAGAGAGAGAGAGAGAGATGGGGCCAGTTGTTGACTCCATCAAATCCTGGCCTTGCTGTGGATTCATGCAGGCTGCTTTTGGCAGACAGTTCACTCCAACTGAACTGGCTTCACCACTTCCAGGCTTGGGCAGAGTTCGGCAGAAAGAGCGAGCAGAGGAGATGGGATTCTATAAAGTGGGGCGCAAGGTCAGATTAGGCAGCACTGGGGCTGCTTCTCCAGCACAGAGATGCCGTAAAACCAGCATAACTGGGCAGTGTTCTCCTCAGCAGGGAGGGCAGCCTGTCATGGCTTGGAACCGCTGTAAGTTACTTCTGTGTCGCGTTCTCTGCTGCCACCACATGGGGCATGACTGAGTCTCTTGCATCTGAGGATCACCACAACCCGTGAAATGTGGAGAAGCCCATCTCTGAAGACCAACACAAAACCCTTAAACAACAGAAGGTCCAATAGACAAAATGGCACGTCTTCATTTTAGATTTAACACAAGGAGCAGTGTCAGCTGGACAAACATTGTAGCACGGAAGAATAACTCCTTGCGCTGCTGGAACTAATGTGGTAAGTGGTAAGGCCTGCACTGTGCATGTCAAACAAGATGATTATAACTCTGGCCCTTTTAAAAAATAATAATAAATAAATAAAATATCTATGGGACAGCTTTTCAGCAGGTGTCAAGTTAACATCACTCTGCTGAAGCCAATACACCTACCTGGATTTGGAGCCGGTGAGAAACTGGTCCTACAGCTAGGAATCCCTAGGCAAAGCTGTCCACTGATGAGGGCAAATGTGGGCAGATCTGGGACAATCTGGAAACTGGAGAAGCAATAATGAGTCATTGCTGGAAGACCATGAACCTGGACGGTGTGCAGAGCAACTGATCTCAGCATTATCGTATTTGTAGGGTAACCTTCCTACAGTTGGCAATGGAAGGACAGATTGCCACCCTGCAGCTGTCCTCTCGCTTTTCTGCATTGCGAGCGGTTCAAACCCATCTCTTACCTCATTACAGCTCTCCTGCTGCCTGTGCCTTTGAATCGGAGTCAGATTTGATATTAAAGACATTAAAGCATCCGATTTCTGCAGCTTTTACATTACCAGAGACAGTGAACACGTCCTAAAAGCTACCCTGCCAGGGAAAGCTAAACGCTTGACAAGCTGCAGGGTTCGGTCCCTAGAGCACATGCTTCCTCTCCTCTGAGTGCTTCACTACAGCTTCCGGCTCTCATATGCAATGCCCTGTTGGCGTTTCAGCCCAGGATTCCCATCCTGCCAGCGCTGGAACTAGCACAGAGGGGATGACTGACAGCTGCTGTGATTAGCTTTGCCAGCAAAGTGCCTCATTAAAACTAGGGAAATGGTGCTAATGAGAGTCGCTGTCTTTCTTCCACCAGATGTACCATCAGGCAGGGACTTACTGATATCCATCTGCATTACAGCCCCACACTGATAGGTCATGCACCCATTGGCAAGCCTCTTGATGTTAACAAAGTCACACAGAACACCCCGTTAGAAATGGTCATTGCTACAGCAGATGGGGGAGGGGGGAGAGAAAGACAACTGTCTCTCTGTACAGAGCCAAATGTTTGACATAAAAGTCATGGTGCATAAACCCCGCCAAGTCCTAGAGCCTGATCCTGCAGACACGCCCACAAACAAGTCTCACAAAGCCGCATGCGAGGAAGGATGGTCTTGTGGCTAAGGCACTGGGCTGGGACTCAGGAGATCTGTGTTCTATTGGGCAAGTCACTTCAACTCTCTGGGGTCCCCATGATGTAATAAAAGGATAATAACCCTTATTTTATCTGACTTGTTTGTTTAACCTATAAGGGGCAGGGTCTGTCTCCTGTTTGTACAGCTCGCAGAATGACAGGGCCCTAATCTTGGTTGGGGCATTCAAACCCTACTGTAATACAAATTATTATTAATAACAAAAGCCTATTATCGAGAGGAAAATTACATAATCTTGGACTCCAGGAGAAGTGATTAAATGTGTAGCCTTATTGTTAACTGTTATGGGCCAGGATGGATGTAGCTAATAATTAGAGCTCAGTGAATAATAGATTTTTCAGTTCAGGGGCCAAACTGAAATTTGAAGAAAAAAAAAAGATTCAGTAAATTTCAAACAGAAACTGAACATATTAATTTTTTCTTGATTAAATTAACCCCTCTGTAAGCACGTGGGACTCACCCCTGCGGCGCCTCCTGCTGGTACCTTCTGTGAATTAGCTCTCCAGCCATCAGAACGCCCTCTGCAGGCCGGTGTCCCGCTTTTGCCAGGCTCCCGTGTCCCTCCCGGACCCCCTTGCACACCGGGGTGCTGCCCCCTGGCAGTACACGCCTCAGTCTCTGGGTCTCCTCTCCACCCACTATCCCCAGCTCGCCTCAGTCGTAGGCCACTGCTAGTCACCAGCTCGCCCCCGCGCCCTGGGGCAGACGGCAGTGTCAGCCACTCGTCACAGGCAAGGGGGGTTTGGACCTGCTGCCTCCACCTATAGCAGAACTGCCCCTCTGCAGCCCTAGTACCCTCCAGTGGGGCCTTACTTTGGCCTGCAGCCTGGGGCTCTGCTAGGCTGGAGCTCCCCAGCTCCCTGGCCCCTCCCCAGCACTGCTCCACCCTCAGTACCTTCCTCAGCTCCCCAGGCAGCCTGGTCCCTCCCTCCCTCCAAAGGCTAGAGAGAGAGTGTTCCTGCTTCTGGATTGACAGGCCTTTATAGGGCCAGCTGGGTCTGTTTGGGGTATGGCCCCAGCTGCGGCTCCTTCCCAATCAGCCCAGCTTTTACCCCTGCCCCAGCCCTCTCCAGGGCTGTTCTAAGCCCTTCCAGGCAGGAGCGGGTGACCACCCCGCTACACTCTCCCACACACAAAAAATGTCATTCAGGTTGACTTCGATAATACTTAGTCCTGCCTTGAGTGCAGGGGACTAGACAAGACGACCTCTCGAGGTCCCTTCCAGTCCTACACATCTATGATTCTAGGATTTCAAAAATGTCATTTCAAAATGAAACGTCAAAATGGTTTGATTCAACGTTTCCAAATAAAAAAAAGTTTGGCTGAACTATTTGCCAAATTTAACCCCAATTTGTAAACAGTTTCAGGGCCCACCAAAATGAATTTTTCATTGAATTTACCATTTCCTCCCCCCCCAAAATTGCTCAGTTCTACCAATAATACTGTGCTTTGTTGCCTCAGTGTTAAGGACTGAAGAGCATTTTTGTACACTGTGTTCTGAACACCAGATGCAGTGACTGGGTGCCCCTACCCACTCCTTGGAATCAATAGAAGCGTATTCATCCCAGGAGACAGGCACCCTTACCCTTTTGCAATGGCAGCTCTTTAGAACAGTGGTTTTCAAACGGTGGGTCGCGACCCAGTACTGGGTCGCAGAATGGAAAGCACTGGGTCATGGCAGCTCTGGTCAGCACTGCCGACCGGGCCATTAAAAGTCCTGTTGGCGGTGCTGCCCAGCTAAGGGAGGCTAGTTCCTACCTGTTCTGACACCGCACTGCGCCCAGGAAGCGGCCAGCAGCAGGTCCGGCTCCTATGCGGGGGGGAGAGGGGGGAGGTCTGCGCGCTGCCCCTGCCTCGAGCACCGGCTCCGCACTCCCATTGGCTGGGAACGCTGGGGTGGTGGTGCCTGTGGGCGAGAGACACACACAGCTGCTTGTGCGCCTCCGCCTAGGAGCCGGACCTGCTGCTGGTTGCTTCTGGGGCACAGCGCAGTCTGTGGTGCCAGGACAGGCAGGAAGCCTGCCTCTGCACCCCGGCTGTGCCGATGACCAGGACTCGCCGGCGGAAATTTTCTTCAACTGGGTCGCCAGAAAAAAAGTTTGAAAACCATTGCTTTAGAATCCCCTCGTAATGCCACAACAGGGGCTATTCTTACTTAATATCATATATGGTACCCATGGCTTTTAATACTTCAGATTTAAATTCAATAAATAGGTAGTTACAATATTAAAGGTGCCAATATTCAGATAATGCATGTGGGGAAATGTTCCCATTACCACTTTTAATTCTAGCAATAAATCCACTGCTGCCTATTCCCTTTGGATGGACACATCAGTGTGTGCTGCCACGGAGCATAAAGCAAGCTGTCCCCATATTTAATTAATGCCTGTTTGGTATAAATATATCTTATTAACCTACATAATAAACTGGCAATAGTTGCATTATTAATGTGAAATTGCCTCTTAAAAATGCCTTTTTTTTTAAATAAGCAGCAGGATTTATATAGGCCTTCAGCTCCCATTGGAATTAAATTGCTTTATGCAAACAAAGGGGCTTTGCCTTCGAGTTATGTGCTGTGGACATATTAGTGTGGCTTGCTGAGTGAGCATTTTTAGGTGGCTGTGTGTGAGAAAGCAAACTCCTTCTTTGCAAACACCATCTATCTCCTCCTAATAACTGACTCTTATTTAATGTATTTTATTTTTAATGAATCTATTCCCAGCTAAATGTCCAGCTCACAAAAGATGCTGTTGGGGTAGAGCTTGAAGGTACGACGAGAAAAGTCCTCTACTTAACATACAGAAGGTACTCTGTAAAAGGGGAGGAAGGGACAGTTCTAGATATTGTGACCTAGATCAGTGGTTTTCATTCTTTTTTTCTGGTGACCCAGTTGAAGAAAACTGTTGATGCCTGCGACCCAACGGAGCTGGGAATAAGGGGTTTGGGGTGTGGGAGGGACTCAGGGCTGGGGCAGAGGGTTGAGGTGCGGGGGTGGGGCTACGGGGTGGGGGTGAGAATGAGAGGTCCACGGTGTGGGAGGGGGCTCTGGGCTGGGGCAGGGGGTTGGAGTGTGGGAGGGGGTCAGGGCTCTGGGCTGGGGTCAGGGTGAGCGGTTTGGAGTGCAGAAGGGGGCTCTGGGCTGGGGCAGGGGGTTGGAGTGTGGGAGGGGGTCAGGGCTCTGGGCTGGGGTCAGGGTGAGGGGTTTGGAGTGCAGAAGGGGGCTCTGGGCTGGGGCAGGGGATTGGGGCATGGGGTTGAGGCGCGGGCTTACCTCCGGCAGTTCCGGGTCAGCGGCGCAGCCGGGGTGCAGAGGCAGGCTTCCCGCCTGTCCTGACACTGTGGACCACGCTGCACCCTGGAAGCAACCAGCAGTAGGTCCGACTCCTAGGCGGAGGTACACAAGCAGCTCTGCGCGGCTCTCACCCACAGGCACAACCCTCCCCCCAGCTCCCATTGGCTGGGAACTGGGCAATAGGAGTGCGGAGGCGGTACTTGAGGTGGAGGTAGCATGCGGAGCCCCGTGAGCCACCCTGCCTAGGAGCCAGACCTCCTTCTGGCTGCTTCTGGGGTGCAGCGCGGTGTCGGAACAGGTAGGAACTAGCCTGCCTTTTAACTGACTTTTAATGGCCTGGTTGGCGGTGCTGACCAGAGCCGCCGCGACCCAGTGCTTTCCATTCCATGACCCAGTACTGGGTCGTGACCCACAGTTTGAAAACCACTGACCTAGATCTTCAAAAGCAACCAGTGATTTTAGCTGTCCAACTTGAGATGCTGATTTTTAGAAGCGCCAAGCACCTGTTTAAAATTTAGGCCCCTTTCAGGAGTCTTAAGAGGGGCAGCCAAAATCACTAGTTGCTTTTCAACGTTTAGGCCACTATCCTGTTCTTACTGAAATAAACTTGGTGCTAGAACAAAGACGGGGATCCAGGCTGCGAGTGGCAACCTCTCTGTCCCATTTCACAGCTGCATGTTAAGTGCCCAACACCTGAAGTAAAATAAGTTGAACTAAGAGAATCCAGTCTTAGGATGTGTCTCCACTATAGAGATCAGCATAGCTATGTCAGCATAACCCCATGGAAGGGGTTTTTCCTGTCCATGTAGGAATACCACCTCCCCAAACGAAGTTAGTTACATTAATGGAACACTACACAGAGGGTTTTGTTGGCATAACTATCTCAGTCAGGGATGTGGGTTTTTCACACCCCTGAGCGGCACAGCTATTTCGACCTAACTTTTAAATGTAGACCAAGCCTTAGTTTCTCTTTAGAGATTTATATGTCCCTTTCCCTCTAGTATCCATACACTTCACAAACATTAATGAGTTTATCACCACACTGCCACATGAATTAGGAAGGTGTTATCCCCTTTTTACAGAGCAGTAACTGAGGCCCAGAGAGATTAAGTGACGTCGCCAAGGTCAAAGATGACCTCAGTGTCAGAAAGAGAAATTAAAGCAAATCTCCAACTTCTGTTAGTGAAAGAGACAAGCTTTTGAGCTACCCAGAGCTCTTCTACAAGAGCTCTTTGTCAGCTCGAAAGCTTGTCTCTTTTACCAACAGAAGCTGATCCAATAAAAGATATGACCTCACCCACCTTACCTCTCTAATATCCTGGGACCAACATGGCTACAACAACACTGCAAACAAGCTATATTTCAGTTAAACACAAGTTATTGGTCTCAATTCAAGGATAACTGGATGAAATTTAATGGCCTGACACATGCAGGAGGTCAGACTAGAGATAATCTAATGGGGACTTTTCTGTCCTCAAACTCTATGAATTCATTTCTGTTTGGGGTAGCAAATTTGGGCTGGCTCATATCCAACCTGCTCTGCCCTAATCCCTAGTCCCAATCCCTATCCAAACAGATGTGTTCGCAAAAGGGTTTGATAGTATTAATCACACCAATCAAACAGGCAAGTAAAGTGCTCTAGCAATCTGCTAGCTTCTTACCCTTGAATTCCTCAGGAATGCCAGTGATCAGTCCCTTTCAGTCATTCAGGTGCTGTCTGAGTACCTGCCACAAGAGAAATTTAGAATCAGGAGCTATAATTTATTTCAGATCATATCCTGTGCCTTCCCTGAAAATTGAGGTTTTTTTACTTTGTACAGAAACATTCCTTTATTACACAGTGTAAATAACCTTTTATATTTGCAATGCAATTTTAACGTTTCCTCCAGTGTTGCCAAAAAATAGTCTGTTTAAGGAAAGACTATCATTGTAAATTCACTCCCACCCGTGACATCTCTAGATACGCTGGGCTTCTGCAGTCTCTTGCCATTCAGACACAGCTTGTTTTTATTGTTGATTCCAACCCAGTGATTTCCACTTTATCAAGTTTCCAGAAAGTTGAAGAGAATATAAAATAAAAAACAGCGTCTTAGCCTGTCCCAGGATTGACACTTCTGAGCAGCTGGTTCTTTACACCCTTTTCAAATGTTGTCTCTAAGCACCACTTAATGCAGTTTGAGTCATAAAATGACAGTGAAATTACTTCTCCAGAATAGAGCATTGTCAGACTGAATCCAGGTGAACTTTCTCTTCATACTGATAAAAAAAAAAAAGAGTCTTTTGAGGCTGTGATATATTAATAAATATCATACAACTCCCATGTATATAGCCCCTTGCATCCTGACGGGGCTCAGAGCACCCAAACGCAGAAGTTCTTGCACTCAACACCAAAATGCAGCTGCCTCTAAAGTGAAACTCAGCCACCCAACAGACTCCCAGAGGAGGCTGAGTGACTTGGCCAAGGTCTTCAAGCAAGTCAGGGACAATCTCAGTAAAGGAAATCAGGGAGTTCAAAGCCCCGTGTCCTACCAACTACTAGAGCACATAGCTGAAGTTCAATGTGAAATGGAAGCAGAAGACTAGACCCAACCTAAAATGGAGACATATTCTGCCAAGCATAGGGAATACTGATATAATCTACCAACAGTGTCATAACCTCTAGGACTAATTCATACGGGATGATATTCATTCCTGTGCAGACAGATAGCACGCCATGCACCACTTAATTCCTTATGAGGCTGAAGTGGGACTTAAGTGATGCATAGGCCTTGCGCTAGCTCCTCTGCCCGAGGTGAATTTCACCAACACCTCCTAGCACCTAGCAGGTAGATTAATCCAGAAAACTCTCCACCAGAGCCTCCTGCCCTTCCATGTAAACACATTGATTCCTCAAAAGCCATGTGAAGACAAGAAATAGGTTGCAAACACTGCATAGGGCACTTACAGTGAAATGGTTTTTGCAATGAGATAATGCACTTTGTGGGTGTTAATGGTCATTACTGCAAACAGAGGTAGGTGTTAATGATGAGGCATTGAGCTGCAAATGTCCTTAGAATTACTTATCTCACCAAAGAAGGCAATCTGGGATATTTTACTACACCTATAAAAACATCTTTTCATCAGTTTTTTAAATTTAAATTAAAAATATGTTGTACTTTATCAGAGCTTATCTTTTACCATTACGAAGAAATACACAGCAGAAGGATGTTAAAAATAGAATAATCTTCAACCTCAGAATGGATGCTTTGTGCATACAAATTGAGTCACCATACACAGAGATTTAAACAAATTGATACAAGCTTTGTGTGTAATTTGTTTATTGAGAATTCTTCTCTCTCTCTCTCTCCTCTTCTCCCCCGCCCTACCTTTAAAAAAAAGAAAAACAACAACAACAACAAAAACACCTATGGCCTATGCAACTTCTGTAAGAATATTTTTTAGCCTGTTTCTTCAGATAATAGTTTGATGTTCGCCTCCCAAATAAAAACATTGGCCATTATTTTTCATTACACTGATTATATGTGAGCAATTATTCCCTTGGATAAGAAAATACTCACTATTCTGTCACATTCAGCACATCTGTTAAGACTGAGATATGGCATCAAAAGTGTTCCTTGCCTTCTTTGTGTTACATAGCATGCACATCTCAGTTTGGAAGAATTATAGCTGTGCTTCTGGTTCATTTCACTTAAAATACACCTTTACCCCGATATAATGGGACCCGATATAACACGAATTCGGATATAACGCGGTAAAGCAGTGCTCTGGGGGGAGGGCAGGGGGGCTGCGCACTCCGGCGGATCAAAGCAAGTTCGATATAATGCGGTTTCACCTATAATGCAGTAAGATTTTTTGGCTCCCGAGGACAGCGTTATATCGGGGTAGAGGTGTATTATAATTTGTGCTCTCTTATTTTAGGAACCTATCAATTGCCACACTTCTTCAAGCTTATGGTCCATCTAGTCCAGTGTTCTGTCTCCAGAAGTGGTCAGTACCTGTTGCTTCAAAAGAAGGTGCAAGAAACTTTGTAGTAGACAGATATGGAATAACTTGTTCACAGGAAAAGTTTCTTCCTAACCCCTATTAGTTATGCCCCGTAGCATGAAAGTTTACATTCCCTTCCAAATCCTTGCAATTTTAAAAATCTTAATTATTGTCGCTTTGGATGTTTTCATTTTTCAGACAAACAGGAAATTTTTTTACTTTTTAATTCTGCTAAGTGTTTGGCCTTGGTATCAAGCGGCCATGAGTTCCACAGGCTAATTGTGTGAGCACGTATTTCCTTGTAGCAGTTTAATTTTTACTGTCTTTTAATGTCATAGTTTGTTTCAATGATGTTTTAAACTTTCTAAACTCATCTCAGTACCAGATCTATTTTTTCTCAAATCTCCTTAATCTTCCTTACATTCTGTAAAGTTTGTCTTTTCCACACAAGTTTTTGCAAGTCTTTTTCTGCTCCAGACTTTTCTCAGATCACAGTAAAAGTGAAGGTTCTGATAAAATCTTACATTTACAAAGCACCTTTCATCTCCTACATAAGAACTTATTGACTTTCAACTGTATTAGTTCATCCTAAACACTTAGCTGGGGAGAAGGATATTAATCTCTGAATTTGCCCACCTATCCTGAGCATCCAGAAGATAATTAGACAACATTCCAAATGCGCTCTTTCTTTTAGATTAAACCATTTCCCTATTCTATATTTTTTCATGTTAATACTATAGGGCTAAGAAATGCTAACCAGAACTACAACTCTGACCTTCAGTGTCCTTCCTACTACCTCTATACGGATAAGGAGGAAGTGGATACATTATTTTCCTTCTCTTCCCAAGAGACCTTTTTCTAGTGCAAAGCAAACAACTAGAACCAATTTGCCCAAGTTGAAAAGCGAAGAGTTGGCTAGTTCAGGGTAGTACTTGGCTGTGCAGGAATGACCATGCCTGAGGATAAATGATATACGTTTATTTCCATGTTAATCGCCCATCTGGCTGACCAAAAGACTCAGTCCTGTCCTGGTGGATAGTGACATGACCTCAGTCATACCTCTGAACACGCAATGTACTTGGGCATAAAGCTGTCAACTCTTAGGAAACTCCAACTAGTGCAGCACACCTTTTCAGCAACCCTGGAAGCACATCATACCTGCCTTCCACACTCTACCTTGGCTTCCCCTAGAATACAGAGTTAAATATAGGGTCTCGATCCTTGTCTTCGAGGAGTTCAATGGCCTGGGCACAGCATAACTAAAGTGTTTAGATGAGGACAGAACTTTTACTATAAAAGTGTGCAAGAGACAAAGGTGTTTTGGGGGGCTGGTCCTAGATGGTGGAATAAACTCCCAAAGGAGCAAAGAACTACCACAAACCTCACCACTCACACTCCAAGTGCAAAGTGCACATCTGGGACTTTGTCTTCTCCATAATAAACACAGAGCAGAGTGGACGTATTAAACAGTATCAGAACAAAACACTCACTGCACACACAATTCTCCCCTTGGTGAGAGGGCCAGAGAGGGAGAATGAACCACAACACGATAGATGTTAGCCACAATCACTTACCACATGACTGAAAGGCACTTAGATACCATAGTGATAAAGGTGCTGTAAGAAACTAAACAGAATAGAACAGAACTCCAAATAATCACTGAGACTGGGGTTTATGTTATATTCACAGACATTCTCTGGCCAACAATCATCGTGCCATGTCCCACAGTGATCAGAAGGGACCACTGTGATCATCTTCTAGTCTGACCACCTGTATAACCACAAGCCATAGAACTTCCTCAAAATAATTCCTACAGCATTTCTTTCAGAAAAAACATCCAATAAGAACCTAAGAATGGCCATACTGGGTCAGACCAATGGTCCATCTAGCCCAGTATCCTGCTTTCTGACAGTGGCCAATGCCAGGTGCTTCAGAAGGAATGAACAGAACAGGGCAATTATCGAGTGACCCATCCCCTGTTATCCACTTCCAGCTTCATGATTTAAAAATTGTCAGTGATGGAGAATCCACCACGACCTTTGCTTAATTGTTCCAATGGTTAATTACTCTCACTAAACAGTCATGGGGCAAGAGAGGTCTTTTGATGGATCCATAGATAAAGGACAGGAAACAAAGAGTAGGAATAAACTGTCAGTTTTCAGAATGGAGAGACACAAATAGCTGGGTCCCCCAGGATCTGTACTGGGACCTGTGCTGATCTGGAAAGAGGGGTAAACACTGAAGTGGCAAAGTTTGGAGATGGTACCAAACTACTCAAGATACGTTAAATCCAAAGCAGACTGCAAAGAATTGCAAAGGGATCTCACAAAACTGGCTGATTGGTCAATAAAATGGCAGATGAAATTCAATGTTGACAAACGAAAAGTAATGCACATTGGAAAATATAATCCCAATTATACATACAAAATGATGGAGTCTAAATTAGCTGTTGCCACTCAAGAAAGATCTTGGAGTCATTGTGGATAGTTCTCTGAAAACATCTGCTCAATGTGCAGCGGCAGTCAAAAAAGGCAACAGAATGTTAGGAACCATTAGGAAAAAGATAGATAATAAGAGAGTAAATATCATAATGCCATTATATAAATTCATGGTACACACACACCTTGAATACTGCATGCAGTTCTAGTCACCCCATCTCAAAAAAGATATTTTAGAAATGGAAAAGATGCTGAGAAGGGCAACAAAAATGATTAAGGGTATGGAACAGCTTCCATATGAGG